AGAAACTTTCTGAGAAAACCCGCATTCCTGAGCCCTGGAACCTCCAGAGACTGCCCAGTGGAGGGTCTCTTCAGCTGTGCCCAGCATTTCACCAACATAAACTCCCATTGACTTCAAAAGGGCAAAACCCTTCTTGACTTGAATGGGGTCAGGTCCTACACACCCCACAGCCTCTGTATAGGGCCCTGCTGCACTCCTCACTGCACCCTGGGCCGGAGCGAAGCATACTGACCCCAGTTCTAGCAGCCGGAGTTGGCTATGACCTGTTAGCTCGTCCAGTCCATCTCTCCAGAGCCAGTGCCGGAATAAAGGCAACGGGCACATGATGCTGCTGCCATGGAGCGCAAGGCAACAGGACTTAGCTCTGAGGCATCCATCAGTGGGCATCAGCTCTGATGCTCCTCTTTGTCCTCAGACCAATCAGCCTCTGCATGTGCTGTCCTGCCTAATCACCGATTTCCACCTCCTCCCCAGCCCATGGCCGGTGCCGTGGCCTCACTTCTGACCTTGTTGCTTCCTGCAATCTACAGCCCCTAGATTCCCTTCACTACGGGCACCACAGGTAACAGACAAAGAGACATACAGTGGGGAATACAGGCACCTATGGGGCTACTTCAGAGTACAGGGCTCCCTGTAGGCACCTCCCTTCCCTGCTGCCTCTGCTCCTGCTTCTCCAATCCCAGCAACAAATAGGGAGGCCTTCTGAGCTGGGAGACAGGGCTGGTTTCCGAAGCTGCTGGTGGTGGGTATTGTAGCAGGGTTCCATTCAGCACTAAGGCACCTCCTCCTGGCCGCTCAGGTGATTAGCTTTTTCCAGGTCTGACGCCCCTTCTTCTGCTTGTTATGCATCCTGCTGCAACTCTCTGTGTCTCAGGGTGCTTTCTCTTCATGGCTTGGCTCTGGTCCTTCCCCCTCCCCCTCCAGATAACAAAGACTTTCCGGAGCAACTGTCTCTAGCAGCCTTATCATTCACTGCCCAGATGGTGCCACTTCCCCAGTGGCTGGTAGAGGAACCTGCCCCCCCCGGGTTCCAGCTCAGGGACCTTCTACTCAGGAGCCAAGGTCTGCATCATCCCACCATGCAGTCATTTCCTTGAGCCTTTTCCTACACCCTCTCCCCAGGTCTTCTTCCTTTTCTAATGTCCAGAGAGGGGCTACAGAATCCCTCACTGCAGCCCCTGTCTGCTGACAGCTTCCTGGCTTTATACTAGCCCCGCCTGTTCCTTCTCAGCTGGGCTCCATCATCATTCTGGGGTTACTTAGGCCACTTAATTCCCCTCAGCTGTGGTCTCTCTGGTTAATTGGCCCCTTCCCAGCCTCATTAAGCCCTTCCAGGCTAGTGTGGGGTGAACACCCCATCACCAGGTGAGGGGGAGTGCTGTACCTGGGAAGGGGTTTTTCTGAGGCTGCGGGACGTTGGGAGGGGCAGTTGTTTTGGGCCTGGGGGTGTGAGAGAGGCTCAGGAAAAGGGGTTGGTTCTGAGCTGTGGAGAGGGTAGGTAGGAAGAGGAGGGGTTTTCCTGGGTGACAAGGGTGTGTCTGCGGCAGTTTCTGAGCAGGCGGGTGTTGGGTTGGAGTAGGATAGGTTGGGTTGGCAAGACCAAGTGCTGGGGAAATGGAGTCAGTTGGTGAGTGTGTGCATGAAGTGGGGACGGAGAGTAAGAGCTAGATTGGTGTGGGAGGTTGGGAGGGACTAGGGGTACATCTACACTACCGGGGGGAGTCGATTTAAGATACGCAAATTCAGCTACGCGAATAGCGTAGCTGAATTCGACGTATTGCAGCCGACTTACCCCGTTGTGAGGACGGCGGCAAAATCGACTTCTGGGGCTTTTTGTCGGCGGCGTTTACTACCACCTCCGCTGGTGGATTTAGAGCGCCGGTTCGGGGATCGATGGTCGCGTCCCGACGGGACGCGATAAATCGATCCCCGAGAGGTCGATTTCTACCCGCCGATTCAGGCGGGTAGTATAGACCTAGCCTAGGAGAGAACAGGGAAAGGGAAATGGGTATAAAGCCTGTTTTCTGCCACCCATCCCTTTCCTGTGATGCATCCCAGGGTTTCACTCCGAGAGGGGGTATCAGAGGGATGAGCGTGCTCCTTTTCCCTCCTGCTCTCCAGCAACCTACTACCCAACCAAAGGCTTCCCTAGGGTGACCAGACAGCAAGTGTGAAAAATCAGGACGGGGGTGGGGG